GCATTAGCCTGGGAGCACTGAGAATGGGCGACGGGTCAGTTGCTCAGAGACTGCTAATCCAGGGTGTGTCCAAAGCGGGTTACAGAACTGCATTCAGTCTGGTGGATGTTACACGGCAAATCCATTTAGATGACCGCTTTGCTGACTACTAATTCCTGTAGGGAGGAGACGGAGAGGGATTAATTTGGAGGGAAGTTCTAGTCCATGGCTCATTCACTAGCTGCTAGTCTGACTGTGGGAATGACTCAAAATGCCTCTGGTTACGAACAAGGCAGCTCCAGCTCCGGCAGCTCCAGCGTTCCCTGCCCAACTTTCAGCTCTACATAGAACCTCCCATTAGGTAAACTGAGGTCATGACGCACTCCACGATTACAAACGGCAAGCGAGCATAAACTGAGAACCCCACCTGTCTAGTTCTTGGCGTGGCCGTGAGCTGCAGACCTTGCCACTGTTTATTCATTCACTGATAGGTATTGACCCTTTGGCCGGTCCCCGCGCCCTCACTGCCAATATAAACAGGAATGCTCTTACGACTCCCAAGGTACCCTCTCTTCCCAGTCCCCACCGCCCTCCTTCCCTCTCTGTGTCCCTTTCCCCTTACCTCCGCTCCCCTCTCTTTGTTTCTCCCTTTCTTTCTTTCCTTCTGTCTCTTTCTCTCCTTCAGTCCTCTCCCTCTCCTTCCTTTCCTCCTTCCCCCATTCTCTCCCAACTCCCTCCCATTCCGTCTCACGCCACATTCCGGGGTAGGAAAGCCGTGTTGGATCGCACGCACGTGCCATTCTGATTGACACACCACTGACTTGTGCCCAGCCTGTGCGCCATACCAGTCTGATACCCGGTTATACCGCGTGAGCTCGCCTGTTGAACCACTGAGGAGCGCATAGCGAGGCGACGTATTTACAGCTCGCGTTGCAGCCCAGCCTGGCGTTTGTGTGTGGCATTCTACAGTCCGAGTGTGCAAATTAGAGGTGCAAACTGGTGGGCAGTGAAACTGGTTTTCCGGGGATGTTTTGGTGTGTAAGAGTCTGATTTCATTGGGCATGTTTGTATTCAAGCTTTCACTTCATTGTCTGACGGAACATGCATATTTCTCACTAGCTACATTGCGTAATGCGTATTACACGAAGGGCTGAAACGTACATAACTTCTTTGCCGTTAGCGTATGGCGGAAATGCTATTTTTTTAGTAGCCTTACCTGCATATTTGAAATTGGCATCACTGCGAGGCCGCCTGAACCGGTGTGAGCGTGGACAGACTGCCCTGAGACTGAGCGAGCGAGCGATGCCGCCTGTCGTCGGCACTTGGTTTTTGTCGGCCGTCCCCGCCGGGAACGCTCCCACTCGTAGTGGCAGATTGTGTTTGGACTTGGAGTGGGTGTGTGAACTTGGGGTGGGGTTGGGGATTGCCTGAAGGGCCCAGTAAGGGTTGTGAGGCGTTCAGAGATAGCGGGGCATTTAAGTATCTTTTGTAGAGTGGATGGAATACAGTATTCGCGTGTGATGCGGAGAGGGCTACTTTCCGCTCGAATAGCAAAGCAAGCGGACTCAGACTGTGCCACTCATTGCCCAGAATCTACCCGCTGTTCAAGCGTTGTTATATTTTCAGAAAATGAACAAACGGTCTCTAGATGAATCAGAAGACTTCCGACGTGGATGCTCTGCGCTGGCGTTTTTGCGATGTTTTGTGTTTGCTGGAATAACAGCTGCTGACAGCGGCGCTGTCTCTCGTAAAGTGCTAAGCAATCCACGCTTGCTCAGCTGTTCAGTCACTAAACCACAGACCAGTCTGAACACTGAACAATGAACATCAACCAGACAGTAACGGCGCAGCAGAGACAGAATCGCAGGGTGGTCCAGTCGCCCCGTCTGGCCACGAAACTGCGCCGCTGCACGCCCCCTCCCCCAGCCCCCTGTCTCACGGGGAGGCGGAACGTCGTACGTAACGGTCGCCATGTGCACGGTTACCTGGTATTGCGCGGTATATCGTATTATACAGCACGAGTGCGAACCGACCGGGAAAGTTGGGGGCGCACAACGGGCTCATGGGTGGGTTATGTAATTGGGTGTATTTATGCAACACATTAACAGCGCAGATCGACCGACATTTTTGCTGTTTTCTCGTTTTGATATACGATATGGCATATTTTAGTGTTTGGCTAGATTTTGGTTTGCTAGCAGTCAGAAAGCTGTGTAAGTTAAGTGACAAAACGTGATGACGCACCGGGTATGGAAAAAGGTACCAATTGGGACAATTTCAGCAGCTCCATCTCCAGTGATTTTCAACCGGGACTTTGGCCACGGGTTTCAGAATGGATCCCGCTCGTTCTCTCGAAGTGATGAGCTGTGGCACATTTTTGCGTCACAATTTTCTTAGTATGAAAGAAGAATAGTCTGCCATGGGAAAAGCCGTAGTGTCCCAGTGCGATGCTTATCTATCCGTGTAGCTCCCAGTGGTATGGGGTATGTTGCAACGCTATGGACATGTGCATTGCGCAATATTCTGATAAGCTACCGTCACTTTAAAAAGAACATTAGATCAGTAGGTAGTTCTAGTTAGGGCATGCAGTCGGCACCGCGGCAGATATAAAAGCATCTCGTCTTCGATAGCCTTAAATCATTATGGTGCATCATGGAATGCATGGTGCAGGCTACCAGGAGCTAGTGTGAGTGTAAAAGGCAGGAGCATCACGAGACCGTTCGAGAACAATCTCGCATTAATCACCGAAGCGTTCCGATTTATATGCCTGTTGCGGTCGGGAGTGGATTTATTACTTGCCTGTCTGAGCCATGCGAACTGCAGTGGCGCAATGCTTCACTCTCCTAGGGGAGTTCGTTTATGGATGCCGTCTTAGAACCTCATGGTCTTCGCGGCACGGTTATATGTGTTGCGCCATGGTTGCGATGTTCTCATGTGCACCAAACGGCGTCATTGAGTTCAGCACCATGTCAGAAGCCACGGAGTTTTGTGGAGAGTTTGTTTACGCTAACATTTTAGCGGTGCTGGTAGCAATTTGTGTAAGTGCTAGACTGATGCGCTGCAGCATTGGATAACATCGTAAACCATCGCGGTACGCGCTGGGGTGTTGCTTGGCTAAGATGTAGTTGGTTTGGGTTTACGACCTGGCTTGAGAACCAGCGAACGTTCCTTCTGAGCTGAAATATTCGTTTTCCTGTATCATTTTCTCCCGGCTTCAATTTTACGAGGCTTGTGCGGGCTGACTTTCGTCTTTCGCATTTCTTTTAACCTAGTTAGCATTGTTCCTTTTCTCCATATGCCATTTCTTTGGGAAATACAACCACCACAGATGTCCAACATTATCTCTCCTCACTTCTGTGCACGTTTCATTTCTATTTACGTGTGTACGTACGTTTCATTATCACCCTTCCCCATCGTGAGCCAGACCAATCAACACCGGTCGCTCGTCAGCACGTCTCCGGATGTGTGCCCCGGGCTCTCGATATAGCTCCCGATCCCGTCACCAAATTGGAGTGATGGCACCCCGCGGCGTCTGGACACTGATCTATCGCCGCCGACACACGGACGCTCAATGGCCGGCACACGGGCTATTTGTAGCTGCAGCGCCGTCTTTCAGCGGGCACCGGGCTGTGAAATGCGCCTGTGATTGGAGCGGTGTGTTGTCTGTGCGAGGTGGTTCCAATGCGCTGTGTTCTTACTGTAAGACGTGGTCTTCGAGTTTGGCTGATGAAGTGGCGTGCTTCCCTGATGCCCTGTAAGCTGGCTGATGTTTGGATTCCGTGCGATGTCTTTGTGTCTGTGTATGGTTTCTGCGTCTTGCAGTTTATGTGTGCTCTAATGTCATTGCACTGTTTTCTGTGCTCTGTTCTTGTCTTTGAAGTGATCCGTGCTCCGTTCTCGTGTTCTGTGTTCGTGGTGTGTTATCATTACGCTGGGGTTCGTTGCTGGACTTATTGCAGCAAATGCGACAGAGTGGTTATCGTGATGGATGGGGCCGGGCTTGTTTGTCTTTGATCGATGAAATATCGATGCTGCGAGACTAGCAGCGTTATTGGTATCGAGACCGAATCCCGATAACTACAGAGTTTAAACGTGCTGCCAGCAACATGATCCTGTGATGTGACACGGGGAATGGTGCCTGGAGTCCGTATTGGTTCGTGTGACTTTGTAATTGTTTTGTTTCCTTACTTTTATTTTCTTGTCCTGTCCTCCATCCACGTCCTTTCTTACTTAACGAATCTAAGGCCATCCGATGTACTTTTTGTCCGACTCTCTTCATGATCTCTTAATAACTGATAAATCTGCTAGACTCCGGGCACCTAAATAGTAAAATGGCTCCCGCCCTTGGTATTGAGTAGTTCTCTCATTTTAATCACACTATGTGAGTGCAGCTGCCGACACAAAGCTCTCACTCCATTCCAATTCTTAATCAAAGAAGGCACCATCAATCCCGAGAGGCCCTCTGCGTGCTACTGAACCATTTGCTGGAGCGTCAGAGATGTATCCTAACATTATTCACCTGATGTTGTTTTTGGAACCACCCAGCCACGGGTGCATGCACCGCTCCCTGTGTTACTGGGCTGAAACTGAGACGGTTTAATATTTAAACTCATGTGACAGGATGTTGTTTGATGAAGATGTGTTGTTACAAAATGAAAACCTACCGCACGACCTGTAGGCGGTGGCATTTCTGGGGTGGTAAATCTGCATTTCCGTGCAACATTTTGCATTTTACAGTGAGACATAGGAGGTTGTAGAGGCTAGAGGCAAATATCGCTGAGTTAAATAGTTTGTGTGGTACTTCTGGTACATATGGTGATTTTGCTTTGGGGCTCGAGTTTGAAAACATGCCCATGCGCTGATACAACACGTATTCTTTTTTACTCTTGTCCATTTGCAGACGAACCAGATGAGCTGTGCCTGGTCTCAGTGGCAGTAGGACTGGCCGTTATGATGCCCGGACTGCTATGATGAGTGACGTACTGTGATGACGTGAACTGACGTATGACGTTTGTGTCTCGCAGGGTCACGATGGAGGACGGAGGCAAGCTGTCGCCGGTGCTGGAGGGACTCAAGATGCCCAGCCCGCTCATCACCCGGCGCACGCGCACGCAGTCCACGTGAGTTGGCATGGGGTCCACGGGATTTATTGCAGAGTCCGCGTGGGTTAAATTGGCTCTTTCATCTTCTTGAGTGAAGCGATGTTCAACATGGGTCGAACAAGATTGATTTGAGTTGAACGGGCTGTGAATTGACAAGACTACGTGGAACTTTATTTGGGGACCTCACTTCCATAATCCATGCACAGATGACATGGGTTTAGTGGAATACTTAGCTTCAATTTACTGCCTACGTAAATAGGATGAGCTCAATCATCCATGCGATCCAGACGTTGCCCCTTTCTCGCCACCACCTCCGGCTAGGTTACGTGAGTTCATCATGGTCGAAGTGTTCCCTGGTTAGCCTCACGTAGTCAATAAACAAAGCTGAGTATATCCGGAAAAATCCGGTGCCAAGTTCGCTATCACGACTACATCGAGTTCTTTGGGACGCGGTTTGAGAATCCGGAGAGGTGACAGCCATTGTAAGAAGATACTTTTTTTAAAATCAGACCCTGAATGAGAGCCTCGAACTTGATGAGAGGCCAGAGCATTACGAAAATTTCAAGAGTCATGGAAAATGTTCATCCCGCCTTCCGTGGACTAAATTGTGTCTGGCTGAAAGATTTGTGGTCATATTCGGTGCAAGCCATAAACATTTAATGGCAGCAGACGCCAGACTTGAGGAAAATTCGGCCGGCTGGCACCAAAAATTCTTACAAAACTGACATGTCACCATCCGAACGCTTGTTGCTGTTAGCAAACAGAAGGTTTGTCAGCGTCCCTTGCTTTACCAATAGCTTCACTCCTCAATCCAATGCAAGCAACGGCATTGTACCTATGTATGGTAGGACGTTTTCACTCCCCTGACATCTCAAAGCAGCTGCCTGGTGCGATGCTTCTCGTAGCGCCTCTCTGTTCACCACCGAAGCTATGATGAGCTCGGCTAAATACAGCTGGTCTCTGTGTACCGCTGCATGGCTTATCTGGGTATCATTCGCCACCCGTAACTCAGTTGATTGTAGATAAGACGCTGCCTTATACGTGACGTCGTACGCTGCCGTTATCCGCAGGTTTACTGTCTCACCTCGATGGGCCAATGAAACTTCATCCCAGTGAGACAGGTCGTGCTAATTTGCCCAGTTTGATGCCCTCTTCATTTGTAAAGGTCTCTGCTTGGTGCTTCGTAGCTGTTTCGTTTCGGCGCTGATTTAGGCATTTAAATGGCATGTATCGCCAAAAAATTTATTATTGTGTCCGTTGTAGCTCAACTGTGTTGTATATGGCGTAGTCTTCTACATGACTGTAGATACATTTCATTTCATAGTTTCCCGCTGAAGACTGTCAAGGTATATTGCGTTTCATTTGTTGATTCTTGTGAGGTCCTAGTGCAAGCCTCTGATTAGTTTCTGGGACCGGGTTCTCTGAAGAATCTGGAGTCTTAGGGCAGCGGTGTCTCAAAATAGCCCGCGGCGCGTCCAGTGGGGAGATTTCGAGAGCCTTCGACCCGGCTCGCCTCCGCCCCCCCCTTCCCCACCCCCTCGACACAGTATCGATCCGTCTACCGACCCGTGATATTCCGCATCACTTATGGCATATTGACCCAGTAGCAGGATATATCGACCCGACTCTACCGCGAATATCCGTCAGCAACCTTGCGTTAGTGTATGCGGTTTGGAGGGGCCGAGTTCGAACTACCATATGCTCACCAAACCAGCCATATAGCCTGCCGCGCACGCACGCGCCCAATGTTACGGGCCGCCACCCGCCCACCCACCCCTGCCGTCTGACGTAACGCCCAGCCCCAGATGACGTCATTGTGACGTCATCAGAGGTCGGCGGCGACTGGGTGGCTGGTGGGGCGCGACTGGCGGCCGGACGATACATACGCTGATGTCTGAAAGTCTCGACACAGCGGCGGTGGCGGTGGCGCCGGACCGCCCCCGCCCCCCCCCCCCCGCCCCCGTTTCCCCGGCCCAGCCGCCGCCGCGGCGCGTGCAGGAAGCTGTTTGCAGCGCACCTCCGCAGTCGCCGCCGTCCGTCTGGGGTCGGTCTAAACTGGTCCGACGCCCGGTGGTGGCGGTGCTCCCTCACCTTTGCAGCACGGCTTGGCTACGCTGAGGGGTGCTCCGGGTAGCAGCACCTTGGGCAATGGACATGACGTGTGAGCCAGCGGATTACGTCCGCATGGGTGTGGCTGTCTGGGTCGTGATCTTCGTGAATCACAGCTAGGCGGATAGAGATTCTGTTTAAAGGGACAGTATCACCATTTTGATGAAATTTGACATTGCATAGGCCCCACCTTTCTGGTCCGGGAACTGAAGACCGATCCTCGAAGCTCCACACCGTTATCCCGCTATCGCCGCTCAAAGTACGAAAGGTGTACCACACTTTGAATCGTGCTTCACTATCTTCACTGTTTAAATGTTTGCGCCGTTTTGAATTGACCGCCAGTAATAAAACTTTTACCCTGGTCATTTCATCAAATTTTATAAAGCCAAAACGTTTTTCGCACTTATTCATCACCGTTAAATTCATTAAATAGTCGTAGGCAATTTCCGCTGTTTCCTTCGGATTCTAGCGGCTCAACAAAGGAATTCCTCCAGCTTGAATCACAATCTCCCTCCAATGTATGACGTTTATCACGTGATTGTCACGTGATATTTTCTCCCATTGTCAATTGTCACGTCCAATTGTCACTCCCTCCAATTGTCACGTTATATTTTTATAGGCAATACCTAAGGCTACCTCTCCCTAAGGACAACTCAATCAGAAGAACGACCGCGTAAGCGTAGCGTCAATAATGTATTAGCTGCGCCAGTTCTGTAGTAATTTTCCATGCTTCCAAACTGGCGGCCATGCTTGTATAGTGGTGGTTCGCTCATGAAAATGAATCATGAAAATGAAATGTGGTTGCAATATTTTTCACCGAGTTCGGTCCTCAAACTATGTTTTTCTGATTCAGAAAATAAGAAATGCTAGTAAAAAAAAAATCAGCTCCATACATGGATTTTTTTTTCGATGATACTGTCCCTTTAAGTGAGATGCTTCTCTCGTTGTTTTGACACATCCATCCATATGCAGATGCGTTCCCCTCGCTGACAGGCAGACAGCACACACCTACGCGGGAGATATGCATTGGGAGTTTGGCAATTTTTACGCCATCGCTATAACCCTCGCAAATGCGTAATGGATTGCTACTAGGCTTGGAATTATATTCATCGAAAGCAGGGCTGCGGAGTCTGAGTCGGAGTCGGAGTCGATCGGAGTCGACAGTTGTGACCGGAGTCGGAGTCGGAGTCGGAGTCGATATTGGAAACCCCATCCGGAGTCGGAGTCGGAGTCACCGAAAATCTGTCGACTCCGCAGCCCTGCCAGGTGTGCGGAGTCGGAGTCGGGAGTTGGAGTCGATCGGAGTCAACATTTCTGCCCGGAGTCGGAGTCGGAGTCGGAGTTGGTTTTTGAAAGCCGGAGTCGGAGTCGGAGTCTGAGTCGCCGTAAATCCATCGACTCCGCAGCCCTGATCGAAAGGCTCGATCTTCCCTCCGCCACCCCCTCCCTGTCCCCCTCGCGGCGCTGGAATGTCTGCACTGTTCTCTGCAGGCCAGGCCGGTTTTACCCGCTTTACGCCCCTTCCTACCGCAGCCCTGTGGCTTTGTGGCTCTGGCGTGCAGGATTTGTGCACCGACTGCCCCGCCTGGTCAGACAAAAAGGGGCGCCCAGACGGCGAGACATTCGGACAGATGATGAGATAACCGGACAGACGGCAATTAGCCATACCAAACGAAAAGACAATCAGACAGCGAGATAGTGCTCAGGCAGATGGTGAGATAACCAGACAGTCGGCACGAAGGGACAGACGGTGATACACGCAAATGGACAATAAGACAGGCAGCGAGGTAACGACGGGACAGACGGCAAGACAGCCAATGATTGAGACATCGAGGCAGCCAAACATCATTTATTCAAGAATCACATGTAAATGGTCGTATAATCAAGAGAACCAGAAATAGAGTGTGAAAACCATCAAAATTCAAAACCGTATGAGGCAACTATGAAATCAAAGTTGCCTTCTAAAAGCGACAGGTCAACCGCAGAGACAGGGGTACGACAGACAGCTCGGCAAATGGAGAGGTGGACAGACGTATGCGGATGCTGGCACTTCAGTTTAATGTCGGAGGTGGGGTCTGTAGGGTAGGCACCACGGACGTAGGGTCGGAACTGGTTTTGTGGCGCTGTGGTCGGCTACATTGGTCCTCAGTGGGCCACAGAGGTCGCGTGGTACACTGACAGCGCACGATGAATTGTCATTGCGCGACGGAACGATGATTTAGATGGGCTGCATTGCCGTGTGGATGCTGCGTAGTACGAACGATAATAAATGACTTAATGCAGACAGTTGCACTCGATCAACCTGAACAAACGCACGCTGGTCGCTGTATTAGTTTAATCTCTAAAAGTAGGATTAGCTTCTTTGCTTTTCCACCTGTTAGCTGCACCTTTTCAGTGCTGACCTATCCGTTTCCCGATGGTGTTGACCTTTTCGTGCTCCAATGCGGATGAATTACATAATGTTGTACGTAGTTGTGATGAATACGGAACGTGAAACGGCCTACGTTGCCATCCGCTGATCGAACTCTATTGAGGGAGCTCGCATTGTAAGTCCGTACTGAATTCGTCGTGGTCTAGCTAACAGCTCACAGCTTTTGTCGCCAAAGCTGCGGATGATATTCGTAGAGCTCGCTTCCCTCCACCTTTAGACACTGAGTTTACGCTAAAGAAAAACTTGGATAGCGTCGACATTAATGGTTCTGTTATGACGCTCTGAGAGGCTCGTTAGTTGAATAATAAGCTCGTGGCACGCTCTTCACTCGGTCACTATTACTCTCATTAGGCAGACCCCACGGTCCACGGGAGGAAGTCGGGAGGAAGAGGGTGGGAGGGAAGTGCTATCAGGGGTCCTGCTTACGCTGCCTCCCCGAACTCAAGTCTCGTGACTACATAGATCGTTTCTTTGTGCT